AGAGAGAGAGAGAGAGAGAGAGAGAGAGAGAGAGAGAGAGAGACACAGAGAGGGGGCGGAGGGACAGACAGCCAGAGAAAGAAAGAGAGAGACGCAGAGAGGGGGAGGGGGAGAGAGAGCGAGAGAGAGACAGAAAACAAACATGGACGGACAGACAGACAGACACACACACACACAATAATGTCAAGGCAGTAGCTGTTATGGCCGGATGAGCTCATTCACATTGTGTTCATGTAAACATAATATAGCCGCCGCTAAACGGCTAAACACAAATCTGTGAAAAGTCCCCCTTTGTATCAGATAGTGAGACGCATTCCAGTAGAATCGATGGAAGAGCGACGCTTAGTTAAACAGCCTTGTAACGTGAGCTCGCCGATTTCACTCAGATACGCGTATAAGGCGAGGCACACACGTGTAGTTCGTTTTGTTAATTTTTGATGTGAACACGAATTCACGATTTTAGCGATGAAATAATGGGGTGCATCACAGGATACAGGAGAACCTGTTTTGTGGTAAGCGTGTTTACAGTCGGAATGTACTCACATTTAACGTGCGACTATCTCCGCCATTAAAAAATAGATTTCACTCGAGCGAACCGGCACAATCGCAAACTTTTCACGTTTACTGATGAATCTACGGTTACGGATCAATCTCCGAATACATTACATCAAATTAATCACAGGCACCGTGTGTAAAATAACAGACACGCATTTCTGCAGCAATCACTTACAAGAGAAGAGACGACAAGCCCTCTCTGTTACTCTTTAACGATTAGGAAAATACAGATTTCTATAAGCGGAAGTGAACAGTAAATTCACAAACAGATTTTTGTAAATTAATACCAGGTTGGACGAATTTTTAATTAAATCGCGCATGGTGTTATTTACATATGATTAAGATTGTCAATGTACATCAACAAACGACAAATACGAAAAACCACCTATCCATCACACTCATTATCACCTCTCATGATCAAAAAGTACTATGTTGGAGAAAGGTCAACAAATAACAATTCTCTACATGCCGACATAGATTTACAAACTGTTTCGCTAGCTCTTGACGTACGCACGTAATAAAACAGGACACGCGGCAGCAACGCGAATCCACAAAGGTGTGGAATCAGGAACCAAATATGAGAAAACAAACGCCCACTCCCACCCCCGCATGGAGAACCGCGATATGAAAAAGCCAAGAGTAACCGGCTTATTAGAAACCACAGTATTTCACGAGGTATGTATACAAGTTGCTTAGTATATTGTATATTTACATCAAATCATTGTGCATGTGCAGACGTACAGAATATACACAATAGATGCCGCGAAATGTATATATATATATTCATTTATTGAAAAAACAAAACATTTTATATAACACATATTTATTGAGTAAATTAATAAACAATATTTATAGTATTATTACCGAGGACAGATCTGTTAGGAACCGCCAATTTTA